TCCCAGCATCAGGGTCTTTTCCAATGAGTCAACTCTTTGCATGAGGTGGCCAAAGTATTGGAGTTTCAGCTTCAGCATCAGTCCTTCCAATGAACACCCAGGACTGATCTCCTTTAGGATGGACTGGTTGGATCTCCTTGCTGTCCAAGGGACTCTCAAGAGTCTTCTCCAATACCACAGTTCAAAAGCATCAATTCTTCAGTGTTTAGCTTTCTTTATAGTCCAACTCTCACATCCGTCCATGACTACTGCTAATCAAATTGTCCTGTCTTTCTTTTGTCAGTTGGCATGTTTCAATTTGGCTCTGGAGTCCTTTTCATAGGACTTACTTTTTGGTGCAACAATGTGTTCTTGGCTTATCTTGTCTGTCTCTGGCCCCAAATCTGCAATCAATGATTTCTCTCAGGAACTCTGCTTCCCTGTGGCAGTCCATCTCTAGTTACTCTTTGTTGTATGTCTATTTTCACAGAAAGGATTACTCCTGTGTATAGGATATTTACACTGTCTTTTGCAGTATGGGACTTTCATATGATGCATAATCTGTATCTATGGGCTCATCTTCCCCAAGAGTTTTAACTCCAGGTGCCCTGGATTTTCCCACCCACCTGGCACCCACCATCCACCACCCATGAGGCACAGAAGCACAGATGTTGACTTTTTCTGGATCCTACAGGCTTCTTATGCCCCAAACCAGTTTTTATTGGGGCCGAGGTAGTAAGGAGGGAGGTGGTTAAAGGGACAGTATGGTTTCTACCTCATATACTTCTGTGTCTTTGAATCTTTTACAGTAAGAATGTATTTCTGTGTTGACTGGAGATTTATAAAAGGGCAAGACACCTTCATGCCCCAGATTGAAGACTGGGAATGTGAGGAGGCTGTTTACTTGTATAAAGCAGGAGTGATTTTTTTTTTGTCTTTGTTTTCTTTCCAGGACCTGTACCCAGCTCTGAAAGGTGTAAGCACAGTTTTCCACTGTGCATCACCCCCACCATTCAGTAACAACAAGGAACTCTTTTATAAAGTGAATTACATTGGCACCAAGAATGTCATTGAAACTTGCAAAGAGGCTGGGGTTCAGGTAAGGGGAAAGCTGGGATGAATGCTGTCGAGAATGTGTGGTGGCTTTTCCCAAGTGCGTGGGGACCAGGGCTTTTGTTCACTTCCTGGGCTAGCTAGGCCTGCTTCCTGAAGTGTTGCAAAGAGCCTAAAGTTTCGGCCCTGGGAGCTGCTGAGCAAACCATATGAAGACCCTAAGCCTAATTAGTCTTTGGTTAAAGGGTGACAAAATTTAGAAATTGCTTGTGTTTTTTGTTGTGCTTTAAAAAACATGTTTTTAATATAAATAATATATATAAAACATAAAATTTACCATTTTAACCATTTTTAAGTGTACAGTTCAGTGGCATTAAGCACATTCACATTGCTGTCAGCCACCACCATCATCCACCTCCAGAATTTTTTCATCTTCCTAAGGAGGCTGAAATCTGTACCAATTAAACCCTAACTCCCCCTCTCCCTGCCCCTGGCACCCATCATCCTGCTTTCTCACTCCTCTAAGGACCCCACACAAGTGCAGTCATAGAACACGTGCGCTTTTGTGTCTGACTTAACTTTACTTGGCATAACACCTTCCAGGTTCATCCAGGCTGTAGTGGAATCAAAATTTCCTTCTTTTTTAAGGCTGAATAACAGCCTATTGGAGGTCTATGCTGCATTTTGTTTGTTTATTCATCCCTTGGTGGATTCCTGGGCTGTTTAGACTATTGTGAATCATGCTGCTGTGAACATGGGTATGCAAGTAATCTGCTCCACTTTCTGCTTTCACTTCTTTGGCGTAAATATCCAGGAGTGAAATTCCTGGATCATATAGTAATTCTCTGTTTAAGCTTTTATTTTTTTTTAATTAATTTATTTATTTTAATTGGAGGATAGTTATTTTACAGTACTGTGGTGGTTTTTGCCATACGTCGACATGAATCAGCCACGGGTGCACATGTGTCCCCAATCCTGAAACCCCTCCCACCTCCCTCCCCACCTCATCCCTCTGAGTGGTCCCAGAGCAGCGGCTTTGAGTGCCCTGCTTCATGTATCGAACTTACACTGGTCATTTATGTTACTTATGGTAATATACATGTTTCAATGCTATTCTCTCAAATCATCCCCCTCACCTTTTCCCACAGAGTCCAAAAGTCTGTTCTTTACATCTGTGTCTCTTTTGCTGCCTTGCATATAGGATCATCATTACTGTCTTAAGGAACTGTCATATTATTTTTCCAAACGTTGCCTGTTCTTGTTGTGCCAACTGGTGACACCAGAGGCTGGGCAACAGCTCTCTTCTCTTGTTCGCAAAGCATCTGTGGCATATGTCACTGTCACTTCCCCAAGCATCAGGGGCTCAGCTGATAGGGGCACTGTTTTTGCTAGTGGCTGGTACCCCATTATGGTGATCCAGAGAACCAGGGTTTATAACAATGCAGCAAGCTACATTATGGTGGATATTGTACCTTCTCAGGTCTGAGTTACTAGCAGAGAGGCATCACTTAGTTCTCCAAATCTGGTTCCTCACCTATTAAGCAACATTAGTAGCCCCGGGTTACTTGTGGAGGAGCAAATCAAGTGACAGTTGTAAATCTCACACTCCTTACTACTTTCTACTGTGCCTGTATTAACTGGAGCTCTGTGAATTGCACTCTGCTGTTTTTTCATTCGACCATCCCAGGCATACAGAAAAGATCTGAGAATAATATAGCACCCATACACTCATCACAATATTGAGGTGACAGTATTACTAGTGATGCTGCAGTCGTGCCCTTACCCATCCTCATTGTCACTGCTGTCCTTCTGCATGCTATGTGGCACAGCCAAAACAGAAATTCTAAAACTTTGTAAAAATAATATACTGAATATATCTTCCTGCAACTTGCTTTCTTCCCCCTCAACATTATATTTTTTTTAACCACAAATTAGATCTTTTATTTGTCACCATTAAAAGTCTGCATTTTAAACAAATTCTTGAACTGGTGGCTCAAATCCATCAGCTTGTTCAACTTTAGCACCTGTCTTGTCCCCAGTAGCTTTTCCAGAGCTACCACCTTTACCATGTAGCTCCATGAGTTTTCCCAATTCAAATTTGGGCTTCTTCAGCATTTTTACTTTTCTAACAAAGACATCATGGAGTGGATAAATAGATTGGCAAGCCTTTTCTATGTCTTTTCCAATGCTATCTGGAATCAATTTATTGACCACCTCTTTCAAGTCATTTGTTTGCACCTCTCAGGTTATGATTTCTGTCATCTTGCAGATGGAGTAATAGCAGATGGGGGGCAGCTGGTGCTCAGGTCATGCAGGGAGACTCAGGCTAATTCAGTGTTAAGCTTTGCTTCCATATGTACTGGCTATGAAAGGAAACCTCAGTGGTGCGGTCCACTACAAACACCCGGGAGAGTCACTCACAGCTGCCCAGCTAAGGTAAGCACCCTGCTGGTGCTGGGCTTAAGAGGTCTTGCTGAATCTGATTGTTGTGTTTTTTAGTAGAACCCACACAGAACAGATGAAGCAAGTAACCATTGGTAGTCTTGACATCAATGTGAGCTTCAGTCATGGTCTGCCATTTTTTGACCATGGAGCACATTTTGTCACGAGTAAGATCCATAGCATGGAAGTTAGTCAGGCAGTTTTTGCCATTAACATCCTCAGTAATTAGCTTGAATTTATTAAATGCTACTTTGTCATTCTGCAGATCAGCAAGACTCACTTCACGACCTTTGAGGTCATCAGATGCGATTTTGGTTCTTTGAGTCCTCATGACCAGTGTTTTCGCAATATTCCTTATATTGAACATAGCCGGTGCTTTCACATCATACCAGTCTTTTTTAGAAAATGGGTCAACCACTTTCTTCTTGGTTCCTTTTTTGCCTCCTTTCATAAGGCACTTGTTCTTGCTGCAGCATTATGTTTTTGAGATTTCTTTGTCTTGAAATATAGTACAGTCTGGTATAGTCACTGAAGTGGCAGGATAGCTCAGTGGGTAGCAGTGCAGAAAGTGGGGGTTTTATGCGGTATTTAGGGAATCTCTCTCAACAGAGATGAAACGATCATTGACTGCTTTTCTTCTCAAAGGCTCAAAGTGTTACTTCCCACATTTACATCTCTAATCCACCAGGAATTTCTGTCTGTATATGTTCTGAGGTAAGCAGAGGATGTTTGGGTGCTCAGCAGCATGTACTGTATCATCGTCCCTTCCCTGATGTTTAGTGCCCTATGCAGCATGTCTCTGCAGGCCTGTTCCCGGCTCTCATGCTCCGTGGCCCTGTCTGTGCCCAGGCCCCTGTGCCCTGCCCTAGGATGAACCTCAGTATCTAGTGTAGGACAAGTCACTCCCCAACTCTGTTCTGCTTGACTATTCCTAGCCCTTTGCTCATTCATACACATTTTAGAACCAGCTTGTCAAGTTCTTGATAAAGCCTATTGGAAATGTTAGTGTAATTGTATCAAACCTAAAACTAATTTGGGAGAAAATGGACATCTTTTCCAATATGGAGTCTTGCTATATATTTCTCTCTCTCTTTAATGCCTTTCATTAGACCTTTTACTTTACTTCATAAAGGTTCTGTACATCTTTTGTTAAATTTATTCCATATACCTCACTTCTGGTGATTGAAATATCTTTCATTTTCCACTGCTACTGCATAGAAACACAGTTAATTTTTGTGTATCAATTTTGTACTCTGCAACTTGCTGAAGTCTAACATTTTCTGTATGTTTGTAGTGTTTTATATATAGACATTTCCAACACTTGCAAATGGTGATAGTTTTGTTTCTTCTTTTCAAATCATTATATTTAATAGTTTGTTGTTTACCTTATCCTACCATGCTGGCTAGGACTTGCAGGACCATGTTGAATAAAAGTGATAGAGATGTGATTTGAGCTAATGGTGTTCAGTTTAGGATGGGCTTCCCGTAACCAGATAGCTGAAAGCTGGGGACCCTCATAAAAAAGCACCTTCCTGTCAAATAGCATTTCACCATGCCTGTGTGTGTATACTGATGTGCCAAGGTTGGGAGCAGAAGTGTCTTCTATCCTTCAGTTGTGATAAGATGAGGGAAAATATAAAATCCACTGTTTTAGAATGTCATACCATAACGTGTCTCAAATCCTCATACCTGCAAAAGATAGTGATCTTTGCATTGTTTAAAGAAGGCCTGAAAAGGGAAGGCATCATAGTAAAGAAAGTGAACATGTGCCATTTGATTTCCTTTCCTACGTGACCTTCCTGGTGTTTATATAGTGATCATTCCTGACTCATTTTTTAACATCTAATTTTCTCCTCTGCCAGAAACTCATTTTAACCAGCAGTGCCAGTGTCATCTTTGAGGGTGTTGACATCAAGAATGGAACTGAAGACCTCCCTTATGCCATGAAACCAATTGACTACTACACAGAGACAAAGATCTTACAAGAGAGAGTATGTACCTGACAACTGGTTTAGTTGGTGACAAACGAGTTCCATGAACATTTGCAGGATTTAGATTCTTAAGTAGAATGTTTATGAACATAGAATGTTAGTATTCTGAAGCCTAACTATATAACTTGTGAAATAAAATTTGTGGATGAAATTCAGTTCTAAAGATAACATTGTAAAGTAATTAGCCTCCAACTAATAAAAACAAATACAAAAAAAAGATGATAACAGAAAAAATAGTAACAGAATAGCCTAATGTAGCCAGATGCTGCTCTGTGTTTTACGGGGAATAGCTTCATTTAAGCTTCATAATGACCCCTTAAGGCAGGTACTATGATCTTCACCAGGTTACAGAAGACAGTTGAGGACAGCTGATACACAGAGATTCTGAAGCTTCCTTAGGCCATGCAGCTCTAGAGCCTGCACTCAACCTCTGCTCCAGAAATCAGACAATTTATGATAATCCAAAGTGGCAAGCAAAACTCAGCTAAACACTCAAGTGTGTTTTCATTTGAATACACCTTCCTAGTACTCTTGCACCCCCTCCTCTTTTAAAAAAAAAAGCAAACAATGGAAGGATCTTGCTTTATTTTAAGGGAAAGTGGTTTTCCACTTGGCAAGTCAGCTTCACTGGGGAGCTCCTGGTTTTAGCAGTGGTCTGGACCACATAACGGGGACTCTGACAGTCGCCAGCTCCAGGACTAATGTCCAGGAGAATATTACCAGAAGGACACCCTACACTGCGGACCATGGGTGTTCATCAGCCATGGGCAGCTTACCTTAGCTGGGCAGCTGTGAGTGACTCTCCCAGGTGTTGGCAGTGGACCGCACCCACTGAGGTTTCCTTTCATAGCCAGTACATATGGAAGCAAAGCTTAACACTGAATTGGCCTGAGTCTCCCTGCGTGGTCTGAGCACTGGCTGCCCCCTTCTGTTTGCTATTACACCGACTTGGAACATCCCAGAAGAGCTCCTCTGCTGGGAAACCCAAGGGCCTCGCAGTGCAGAGATGGAGGCCTTGCCATTTGCAAGCTCCAGTCCTGGGTCTGTCCTCTTGCTCCTTGGAGCACAGAGAGCCTTCCAGAGGCATTTATAGGCTTACCTTATTTCCAGCAGAGTACCCAACAAGTCAACACAAGTGAGACCCCTTTGGGTAACTCCGATCATTGTGAACAGTCGGCAAGTAACTTGAACTCGCTCAGACCAAAACATGAGCAAGGATTTTGCCACCATAGAGCAGAAACCCTCGGTGAGGCAGTAGAATGAGTTGACGTGGACCATCTCATTTCATCACGATCTCGATTTTTAGCAACAACCTAACAGATCTTTGGGAAGTTTTGTTCCTTTTGAGGCAAACCCTGTTTCTCTTAAGGCCAGTCCTTTCTATTGGATCTTACTGGCTTTGACCCAGCTCTCTGTCCTGTGTCTTCAGATGTGGGTGTTGGGGTGGAGAAAGGGACAGAGAAGTAGTCTAGAATTCTTCAGTATCTGCAACCCACACCCTCCCTTCACTCTCCTGCAGGCAGTCCTGGGTGCCCATGATCCCGAGAAGAATTTCCTGACCACAGCGATCCGCCCTCATGGCATTTTTGGCCCAAGGGACCCCCAGTTGGTCCCCATTCTCATCGAGGCAGCCAAGAAAGGCAAGATGAAGTTCGTGATTGGGTAAGTTGGCCCCTGACTGCCCCCCTCCATGCCCCCCGGCCCCTGAAGCAAGGGTCAGTCACCATCGGCCCTTTTCTCCTGTGGCCTTGTCTTCTGCCTGTTGTCCATTTCCTGTGGCTTCCACAAGAAATGAGGCCGAGAATAACAAAAATGGGTTCACTCCCTGTGCCTGGAGTCCAGGACTCCCAAAATCCAGGTGTTGGTGGGGTTGGCTCCCTGTGGAGGCTCTGAGGGGGTCTGTTCCAGGCCTTGCTCCCAGCCTCACATGGCTGCCTGCAAACCTTGGCTCGTAGACATGTCACTTCAATCTCAGCCTCCATCTTTACATGACATGCTTTTCTCTGTGTGTCTTTTCTAAAAGATCCCTCCTCTTATAAGAACACCAGTCATTAGGTTTAAGGCCCACCCTACTCTAGTGCAACCTTGTCTTAACTAATTATATATTCAAAGACCTCATCTCCAGATAAGGTCATAGTCACAGGTTCCAGGGATACATGGATTTCTGGCCCATGAACCCTCTCAGGCAGGCCAGAAAAATATTTTTGTCCGTGTTTGGAAAGTCAGGAAACTGACTCAGAGGAGAAACAATTGTCCCAGGGTCAAGGGGTTGACTTTCCTTGCATCTAGGAAGGCAAGGGGAGGTGTTAACATTCCTCCTCTGGGCCTCTGCAGGTGGTGAGAGTGGTTCTGTGTCCCCAATACATCTTTCCTTCCCTCTTTCCTTCTATTCATCCATTCATCCATCTGTCCTTCATTCTCTTTTCTTCCTTTCTTTCCCCCCTTATCCATGTGCTTTGCCACCTTGTCTCCCTGCCTCTCGCTCAGCCTCTTGCCACAGGACTAAAAAGAGATAGTAGAGACCCCTTGAGGCCAGAGCAGCGCATTAGGCCGTAGTGCCCTGGAGGGAGTTGAGAGCTGCTATCCAAACTGGAGCTCAGAGAAGACACCACCAGCACAGGCCATGCCAGGACGGAGCAGGCAGGGCTAGGGGCTTTCAGATCCACGGGTTGGCCGCTAAATACCCCTCTGGCCCTGAAGGCCCAGGAGCCCTGGCCTCCAGCACATCTTCATGGATGCCCAGGTGTCCCTGGGCTGGCATTGCCAAGGGGGGTCGTGGGGCTCTGCCAGGTGTGCAGCTGAGTGCTCCAGGCACAGGATACTCATTCCTTGTGCCCCTGCAGGAACGGGAAGAACTTGGTAGACTTTACCTTTGTGGAGAACGTGGTCCACGGACACATCCTGGCTGCAGAGCACCTCTCCCGGGACACCGCCTTGGGTGGGAAGGTAATGCACCTGCTTCCACCCGCTCAACAGTGGCTGGCCCTCCTGCCCCTGTGTGTCCCTGTGATGCCATCTGCTGGCACACTGCTTCTCTGACCCTGCTTCCTGGCAGACCTAACTTAGGATCCCACTGGGCCATGGTCAAGCCCTCTGACAAGGGAAGGTCAGCTCTTACACAGAGATGGGAGAGCACACTCCTAGGTCCCCCTTCCTTGTTTCTCACTCCCACTTTTGGAATCCCCTCCCCATTGGGGTCTCATTTTTCTCTCCTGGATTTCAGCCCTTTTCTGACTCAGAACTCTCAATGTGGCGGGGGGGAGGGAGCACATTTGAGATAGGTCATACGACCCATTCATAGCATCTGAAGATAAGATCCTTTACCATGATTAACACAGTTATTAAAATAACCAACGTACCTTCCCAAGTACAGTCTAAGCTTCACTTGAAATCCTGACCCACAGCTGAACTTTCATTACCTTCCCCACTACCCCAGAAAGTTGCCTGTAGCTGCAAACCCAAAAGGCCTGTCACTCACTGGCTGACATTTGCAGACTTGAGGACCACAAGAAATGCTGCACTCTGTGTGGGCTTAATCTCCACCTTACTTTTGAGCTGCCCCGTGAAGGAACTGGGGTGGGTAGGCAGGGAGTGGTCCCTGGCTTCTCAAAGTATTGGTCTTGGCTGAGCCAGCAGGCTACAGCTGGGCTCCAAGCATGGCCCACTCCCCACACTGCTGGGAAGCAGTTCCTAGTTTCTGGTTCTCTCTGCAGGCTTTTCACATCACCAACGACGAGCCCATCCCCTTCTGGACTTTCCTGTCCCGAATCCTGACAGGCCTCAATTACGAGGCCCCCAAGTACCACATCCCCTACTGGCTGGCCTACTATCTAGCCCTCCTGGTGTCCCTCCTGGTGATGGTGATCAGTCCTGTCATCCAGCTTCAGCCCACTTTCACGCCCATGAGGGTCGCACTGGCTGGCACGTTCCACTACTACAGCTGCGAGAAAGCCAAAAAACTCATGGGCTACCGGCCGCTGGTCACCATGGATGATGCTGTAGACAAGACCGTGCGGAGCTTTCACCACCTGCGCAAGGTCATGTGAGGCGCCCCCAGCCCTGGCCCTTTGATGCATTCCCTAGCTGATAACTCTCTCCCCTGGAGACCAATAAACTAACCTCCTCCCAGTGATTGTCTTCTTAGCTTAGGCCTCCCCCGGCCAGTTTGATGACAGTACATCTACCCTTCTGTGACCAAGAAGACAGTTAAATTAGCAGACACGTCTTCTTCGTGGGACTGGATGTCGATTTCTTAAAACCGGGCAGCAGCTTCCTATTCTAAGTGTTTTGTGTTCTCTCTGCCCCTGGGTTCCTTAATCATTCCAGTGTCCCCTGTGCACAACCAAAGAAGCTGTAGGGAAGAAACAGCCATCTGCTGATTGAGGAGGGGGTCCTAGATTTATTTCCATGTAGACTGTTCAAGGAGCCACAGATGACAAATACCTAGAGAAAAGCAGAAGTTATGTGAGGCATCAAATGTACATTTCAAATAGATACAGAGTTGAGAGAAAAAGCTTAGAATGCTTGAACAACTGTAAACCCCCAATCCCCACGGGGGAAAGACTGCTGGTTGTTCACCTCCTTGCATGCCCTGAGTTCTCTCTCAGGTACAGCTGCTGTGCCTGCCTGCATTATTTTTCATAAAGCATTCTTTCATGTACACCTTTCTTATCATCCACAGAGCCCTCTTGTCCTTTTAATGGCAAGGTGGGACACTGGGCAGGTGGACAGGAAGCCATGGTAAAGGTCAGAGAGAAGAGCCCCTCCTTTATCTGCTTGGAGATGATACAGAAAGGGCTGTTTCCTCACAGCTCATGCTCACAGAACCCTTTAGGGCAGTTCCTAAAAATCAGCACATGTAGTGAATTGGCATTCTTTATTTCCTGTTGTTCTTACAGAACCTGGTTTCTTCTCAGACTCATTGAAATGTAATCTTAAAGATGTCTGTTTTTTTTTTTCCTCTACCTTTGTCCAAGGGTGGGGAGGCACCTGAGGAGATTGGAATAAACTGAAGGTATTGTACATGCCATGCAGTGTGTGTGATACAAACTTCATCCCAACCTTGGGGGAAACTGAACTGCTAGGGTGAGGGAACACAGACAGAAATAAAACAGGATCTTTGGCCTAAGGCACTTAGAATAAAGGAGTTAAGATACATTCAGAAGGCCCTGTAATTCAAGGCAGGAATTAAGACCAGGTGGTGTAAGTTCCGAGGAGGGATACATGGCTTCCAGCCAAGACTGTGTAGGTTGAAGAGTCACTGGGTACAGGCCACTAGATGGTGTTTAAAGGTAAAAGGTCAGGTTCACAGGCATTGGTTTGTCATAGTTTCGTTAGCAGTGTGTTGTGTCTCTGAAGTATGGAAGCGTCCTGTGACTAGGAGGAACATGGAGCAGTAGGAGTTTGAAAGTGAAAGTCACTCAGTCGTGTCTGAGTCTTTGCAACCCCATGGCCTATACAGTCCATGGAATTCTGCAGGCCAGAATACTGTAGTGGGTAGCCTTTCCCTTCTCCAGGGGATCTTCCCGACCCAGGAATCAAACTGGGGTCCCCTGCATTGCATGCGGATTCTTTACCAACTGAGCTGTCAGGGAAGCCCTAGTAGGAGTTTGGTCAGGCTAAAGAGGTTGGGTGAACCTTATCTTACCGGCCGGGAAATCATTGACAGTTCAAGCAAAGGGGCGAGAAGCCACCAACATTCTAGCCAGCCTAAAAAGAGCCTGGGAGCCCAGATAGGGAGTCATATTTCAAGCAGTGATGCAGCCATCCATGGAACTAGAAATGGAGTCTTGGTGGAAGGCCCTGAAAAGGAGTCAGCTTGCTGTAGGATTCCTCTGCTGGGTGAGAGGGAGAAGGCCAGGGCACAGAATGGAAGACTCCACTTTTGGAGCCACTGGAAGGAAGGTCTCAGGCCGGGAAGACTGAAGGTGGTGGACCTCACTGAGGAGCACCGAGGACCAAAATGCTCTGGACCCCCACCTGTTTGGGGAAAGTGTGACCACCAGGGAACCACGGGCTCCGCACACCCTGGGGACTTGTCAGAAACTGGGGGCCCACCAAAGAACTGATTCTGTTTCACAAGCCCCACCTTTGGTTCTGAACGACTGAAGTGGTCTCCCAGCAGGTCAGTGAGTCCAGCTTAAACCTCACCTCAGCCCCTGTAAGGCTGAACATGCCAACCTCACCATCCTGTTTTCTTTACTGCCACCGTAGCCTTGGAGCACACATCCCTAAAATGACCTCTGGTAACTGACCCAGTCTGTGCCTCTCCCCCATGGCACCTCTTGTCTGCAGAATCAGGCCTGAGGGAAGGCCCTTGTTTCCAAGCTTGGGAACAGCTACAGACCCAGTGCTGCACGTCCATTGGGGAACTCTCTCATTTCACGCCCTCTCCCCTCCCCAGCTGGGCTGATGTATTTCCGCCCCTGGCCTGTCCACATCTGGGTCTGATATACTGAGATGGCTGAGCTGATCTGTCTGCCCGCTCTGGTCCAGGCTCTGCACCCATCCCGGTGTCCTCCCCTAAAACAGATCTACACCCTGCCTCTCTTCTGCCAAAAACACTTTAGTGGGGCCCAGTTTTCTCCTGAATCCATTCTGCAGCCTGTCCATAACAACCTGTGCCCAGCCCACCTTGCCAGCTTCTTCCCCTGGCTTGACACCTGCCATGCTCCAGCCAACCTTCTCTGCCCCTGTCATGCATGCTACCCTGATTCTCCTGACTGGAAATTGTCTTTCCTCTGGTCTCCCCACCCGGGCTGGGAGCTCCCTGCAGGCAGAGCCAACCAGTATCCCCACAGCCGAGAGCAGAGCTCAGGAAACAGGTCACCACCTGCCTGGCCTGGCATCCTAGAATAACAGCTGCAAGCAAAGGAAGCAGCCCAAGGAATGGGGAACAGGGCAGCCAGCGGGCCTAGTTGGAGCAGAGGTTCCAGGCCTGGCATTCTTGTCTGGATTCAGGAGGTCTTATGAACCCCATAAATTGGACGCAGCCTTTGGGGCATCTGTGAGTGTGTGTCTTTTGGCAAGTGAGGCACATAGCCGTCATCAGCTTTTCAAACATGACTGTGGCCCAACACAGAATTCGAGCCAGTGGGATGGGGGCCAGCAGCTGCAGAGAAGCCTGAGTTGGACGGAGGGTCCAAAAGGGACAAGCCAAGGGGGCAGAGGCCAGAGTGTGCGCCTGGGACGGGGGCTGCCTATGGCCAGCTCCTCCATCTGTGGGGTCCCTGACTCCAAACCAGGAAAGGACTGGAACCAAGGCAGAGGCTGGCTCGGCAGACAGCACAGGAATGGTTCAGGCCTTTGGCCACAACCCTCCAAACTCGTGTGCATTTCTACCCGCTGACAGGAACTCTCGGCCTCCTCTCTGCTTGCTGGGTGAGACGGCCTGGTGTTAGAAGCTCTCCCTTCTACTGAACTGAAATGCCTCTCTCTGTGACCTCCCTCACCTTCCGTCCCTCCACCAACCCCAGCAAGTAAGGCTTGCAGCTCCTTGTGCTCCTGAGCAGCACTCTCGCCTGCACAACTGGGCCTGCAGCCTCTGCTTTCAACCCTCACCTCCAACATCATTTTCTCCCCTATGAAGATGTCTCTTTTCTAGCTTCCCGCAGAGCCTGCCCTGTATGCCATCTAAGCCCTTCCCCAGTCATACAGTACTCATGACCTTAGCTGCCCATTCTCTTCTGAGCCAGGTGCCAGGGGCCTTTGATGCATTTCTCTGTCCCTCAAGTCCTGGGTGCTGCTTACTCCTGAGAAAAGTGAAAGTCGCTCAGTTGAGTCCGACTCTGTATAGTCCATGGAATACTCCAGGCCAGAATACTGGAGTGGGTAGCCTATCCCTTCTTCAGGGAATCTTCACGACCCAGGAATTGAACCGGGGTCTCCTTCACTGCAGGCAGATTCTTTACCACTAAGCTCTGAGGAAAGCATAGCTGAGAAGGTGATCAGTAATTGTCACTAGACTCATGGACATTGAGAGAAGAAAGGCGGTAATACCGACATTGACCACCTGGGGGAGCCTCAGGCAAGGACACTGAACACTGCTCCCATTTCCCCACGCCAATGCACCTAACATGCTGTAGATTCAAGGGACACAGGTTCTCATCTCAGGCTTTCCAAAGTGAAGGGCCCAATGAACACAAATAGATGTTTAGGAATGGAGACACTACAACCTTCCATCACCAGCATCCACCTTTTTTTCGCAAGCATTGCCTAGTTGATGGTCTCAGAAGACTCCAAATTAGACTTCCCTTTGTTGGGACTGACTCTCACTCAGCCCCAGGAGTTTTGTTCACATTAGCTCCTTCAGCCCAGAGAACTTTCTAGAGGGACCTAGGTAGGGGAGAAAAGAAGAGGAGAGTGTCCCTCCTTTTGTCTTATACTGCAGCCTATCTCCCAACTCTTGCAAGATGCCTTGTCTAGCAGGTACCCTAGGAGATGCACAAGCTGTTGGCTTTCTTCTCCATGGGGGGAGTGGGATGGGACAGGGGTTGGGGACCATCAATTCAGAAACTATTAACAGACTCCCTGCTAAGTCCAAAGGGATACACAGTTGACCAAGATTGACCCTTACTCAGAGAGTCCCACAAAGTAAAAACCCTTTCCTCAAGAGCAGAGGTCTGCAAACTGTGAAGTCAGGGTCAAGTCTTGCTTGTTGTCTGCTTTGGTCAATACAGTTTTCTTGGTGCACAGCTACATTCATTCATTTACATATTTTGGCTTGAAACAATATAAACTTATTCTCTTGGGGTTCTAGAAGTCAGAAGCTCAACATCAGTTACACTGAAACAAAGTCAAAGTGCCAACAGGGTGGTTGCTTTTGGAGGCTCTGGGAGAAAATCTATTCTCTTGCCTATTTCAGCTTCCAGTGGCTGCCTGTAAGCCTTGACTTGTAGCCGGTTCCTCCATCTTCAGAGTGGAGGTCTCTGCTTCCATTGCTCCATCTCTTTCTCCCCAACATGTAGACCTCTTCAGTTCAGTTCAGCCACTCAGTTGTGTCTGACTCTTTGCAACCCCATGAATCGCATCACTCCAGGCCTCCCTGTCCATCACCAACTCCTGGAATTTACTCAAACTCATGTCCATCGAGTTGGTGATGCCATTCAACCATCTCATCCTCTGTCGTCCCCTTCTCCCCCTGCCCCCAGTCCTTCCCAGCATCAGGGTCTTTTCCAGTGAGTCAACTCTTCGCATGAGGTGGCCAAAGTATTGGAGTTTCAGCTTCAGCATCAGTCCTTCCAATGAACACCCAGGACTTATCTCCTTTAGGATGGACTGGTTGGATCTCCTTGCAGTCCAAGGGACTCTCAAGAGTCTTCTCCAACACCACAGTTCAAAAGCATCAATTCTTCAGTGCTCAGCTTTCTT